TTCCTTTCCCTAAACCAGTACTTGCAAACATCCCAACCAGGATATACAAAACTTAGGGTTGTTTAAAATGGCTTTGTGCTTAACTTCACACAGAAAAAAAGAGAAGTTATTGCTTTTCCCCGTAAAAATGAATGTGAAGATGAAGAGTGTGGCATTTAAAACTGCCAACTGACAGCTGCAGTTGGTTTTTAGCCAAGGCAGTCCCTGTAAACTGCCTGTTTACTAAAACCAGCTGGTAATATAATATACAAATGCACACTACACCCATTTTAAAAAGCTACATTCCCATTAGCTCACACACTAGTTCTGTGCTCCAGCCATTCAAATTCCAGCATTCTTTATAATGCCCACCTGGGGCAAAAAGAGGTCCATATGAAGAGCTGGAGACCATTATAAAGAGGGAATTAAACTCACAATGTAATTGATATTATCACTGTATACATTAAAACAGATTCTTACTCTTCTACATTTCTTTGTCTTAGAGACTCAGAATCCTTCAGTGTCCTGCTGCAATAAAACATAGAGTTGCTATTCTTGCCATTGAAGGCTAGGCAAGGTACTGAAAACAGTGGAAACCTGCCTTGTACTGGGTTTTAAGGCATAGAAGTCAAATATATTTTTGGAATGAAGAAAGGCCTCATTGAAATAAAAAGAATCAAAAGCTAAGCACACAGAGAGAGCAATGTTTCATCATGTGACTGAATGCAAAAAACCAGCAGGCAATAAAAGAAACACAGATTCCTGGAACCCAGCTATGTGACCTTCAGATGACCTGCCAACACTGTGTAGGGTTTACAAATATAATATGGTAACACCTGGAAATAGATGGCTGGATATTGGAACAAGAACAATTAACAGAATCATCTATCAACCCCATGTCCTGCCATCTGATGACTGGAGTACATCTACTCCTCACTGCTGTGATAATAGTCAAGCAGAGACTCAAAAAATAAGCCCATTTGGTCTGAAGACAGCAGTAAGCATGTCAGAAAGCCACAAAAAAAAAAAAAATCCTCCCTCTGGCTAGCCAATTGAAGCTCTTCTTTATTTGTTTCAGCCAGAAATTATTCTTGGCATATCTTATGACCAGGGATCCGGGTTTTCCATTTGCCAGGGAAAAATGCTGTAAAACCCGGATTTTCTCATTTTAAGGACAAAAACCTGGATTTTTTCCTCTAAAGCAGAAAAATGTGAGAAACGGTGCGTCTCCCCTTGCAAGCTGGCAGAGTTCTAGCCTGCAAGGGGCTGGTGGGAGTGAGAGGAGGGCAGTCAGGCAGGGGGTGCCATTGTGCATAAGTGCAGGTACACATGCACATGGTCACCAGGCAGCCTGGAGAGCAGCTCCCCTGCAGGTAAGTCTGTCAGGAGAGGAAGGACCGGGGACAAAGGGGGGGGGGGGGGGGGGGGGGGAATTGAGGCCCCAACATGAGGGAGAGAGGCCACATGTATAAATGGTGACACTTCACTGCAGAGCTAATTAGTCAACTCTGCAGTAAAGCGCATATGTAGATGCATCCACTAACACCAAAAACTGTTGGGCAGAACTCCCAGCTGGTGATTATCAGTCCAGGGCCATTGAATACAATGGAACAACACTGTTTTCACTAGCAGGGGATCTGGCTCCGTTATATTCACAACATTCTGTGCATGTCTGCCACACCAATATGTTCCTTAAAAAGATATTAATCTTTATGGCTACCACCAGCACTTCACAAGCACACGCACAAACAGGGTTGGGCTGGAGCTGGGACTGTTACCCAGCCTGGGTGGTGCATGGAGTTTGGGACCTGGGGCCAGAATGTGCAGCCACAGAGCCCAGAAGTGAAGTGGGATGGGACCGTGGGCAACTTGTCCTGTGGTGGTGAAGGGGGCTGGCTCCCCACTGCTGTGTGCACTCCTGGGGGGGCATGTGCCCACAGATTTGTGCAAGGGGTGGGAAGAGATGCAGGCTGCCCACTGTGGGCTCAGGCTCTCTGCCCTCCTGCCTTCCTCCAGGGACCTCCATGGCTAAGCAGTTTGGACATGGTGTGGAAGGGCAGAGCAAGGCAAGGAAGCTTGGTGCCACCACCACAAGCCCCACACCACCCTGGTAAGTTATTCTGGGCCTACCTGGCAGCAGTGGGGGTGGTGATGTAGAGTTGTGCCCCTCGCTGCTGCTAGGCAGGCACCAGGCACCTCATTATGGTGGTGTGGAGCTTGTGGTGGTGGAACTGAGCTTCCCCATTCCACTCTGCTCTGCCACGCTGATTATTGCCTGATGGGCCTCAGAGCCCTCAGGGGCAGAGCAGCAGGGCAGAGAGCCTGATCCCACAATGGGCAGGCTGCATTCACCCTTGCCTGCCATGGGCTCCACTCTGGCCATGCTGTCTGTGAGTGGGCAGAGCTCGGCTCCATACTCTGTCCTGGTGCAGCAGCTGCTGCTTCCCATGGGTGGCAGCCAGGGCTCAGGTGCTCCGGCAGGGGGCAGGGGGCAGGGGGCTATGGACCCAGGTCTCTGGCTCCATAGCCCTGGCAGCTGGGGGCTCCTTCTAGCAGGACTGTAGGTGGGGAGTGAGGGCACCAGCAGGGCTGGAGGGTTGTGGGTCAGTAGTGAGGGACAATGGCATGGGCAAGGCACCAGCATATTAGGGCTGCTCAGTGCCACAGTCAGGGGCGAGGGAGGAAATCACAGCTGGATCCGTGTCCTGCTGAGCAAAGGGGGC